CTCTTTTGGAGAAATATATTTTCCTTTTTAAATAACCTAACAATTGCTTGCAATAAATAATCTTGCTTTTGAATTAGAGTAAGCACATTCTTGAAAAGTTTTTTCCTCCAAATATGAGTTTTAAGAAGTTAGGTTTTAAGACAGCAGAAGTTACAGGTTCTTATTCATTCCAGCTTTTCATAGTTGTGTAAGTTAATGTAAGAGTGAAGCATTTGAAATCTTGGTAAATTTTAAAGATTAATTGTAGTTAACTCATTCTGAATGAAATGCTTCCACTTCTTTTTTCATCAGAGGACTAAAAAGTGAACTGCAACATAAATAGCATTATGACAGCAGTTACTTTTCCTGTAATTTATAACTTTAGGCAGTTACCTTTCCTATAAGTTATAACTTTACTAAGTGTAATATCCCCTGGATCTAAGTGAAATTGAAAGGCTTTTGTTGGCCATTGTCCCAGATGGCCCCCAGTGATCTTTGTCTCCTGGTATTCCCACACTTGTGTAGTTCCTCTCCCTTCCTAGTGCTTTAGTCTGCATGACTGGTAGAATACTGCAGAAGTGAAGGTATGTCACTTCTGAAATTAGGTTATAAAAAGCACCACAGCCTCAGTCTTCATCGTTCTTTTTCCAGTCGCTTGGTTTGGGAGACATTAGCCGTATTGTCACAACCCCAGATGGTGTAGAACTGAATCCTCATGCTATGAACAATGTTGAATGAGCTTTGAAGTGGATCCTCCAGCTCGGCTTAACTGTGTGAGACCTCTGAACCTTCAGACTCTGAGCCAAAAGCACCCAGCTAATCTGCTTGGGGATTCCTGACCCTCAGAAACTGTGTGACATAGTAAATTTTGTGTTAAGTTGCTAAGTTTTGCTGTGCAACATAGCTAACTAAGACAACAAGGCCTGTTTCCTCTATTTAATCAAGTTTAAAAGGAAACTTATGTTTGATAATCAGTATTGTCAAAGTGCACATTTTTGTGTTTAATCTTTTGTACTTAGAGATTTATAAAATAGTGCAGATATCCCTCAGGTTTACGGTAGTTTTTGGTGAAACAACACTGTCTCTTTTTATTCATTCTGTTTTCTATAACATCTAAAGAGTAGTTCAGAAGTGGGTCCAGGAGTATGAGCTATCAGTCATACTCGTACTTGCATGTCCTCACTAAAGACAGGTTTTCTTACTGTGTCGTACTCCTGTGCCTGTTTTCTTTTTCTTTTACAATGAATTCATCTTAAGAAGCTTTGGTGCAAATAGACATGTGGTAGGCTCTCCCTGAAAAGCTCAGAAACACGTAAATCCTGCATATTGGAATTGATGCTGTTGTTATGATAGATATGCAGTGTGTTCTGTTTTTGGAAAAAATAATTTTGAACAAAAGAACTTAAGGACCGTTTAAGCCAAATTTTACAGATTAGTAGATAATAAACTTCACTCATCCTCTAGGGTAGTTGGATTTTTAAAAATTTGGTATTTTTTAATGGGACTTAAGATTCAGGTGCCACTTAAAAAAATCTTTTCTTTAGCTTTTGACATTAAAGAAATCAAACTTGTATAAAACAGTTGCCTTTTTTTTTTTTTAAAGATTGGCACCTGAGCTGACATCTGTTACCAATCTTTTGTTTTTCTTCTTTCTTCTTCTTCCCAAAGCCCCCAGTACATAGTTGTATATTCCAGTTCTAAGTCCCTCTGGTTGTGCTATGTGGGATGCTGCCTCAGCGTGGCCTGATGTGCGGTGCCGTGTCCGAGCCCAGGATCCGAACTGGTGAAATCCCGGGCCGTTGAAGCGGAGCTCACGAACTTCACTTGGCCCCGGGACCTGCCCTAAAACACTTAGTTTGAAGTAACATTCATTTCCTACAGCCTGCTTAATAGTATTTAGAACAGGTTTGTTTTTATCTTTAGCCTCCTACATTGCAACACGATTTTCCTAGCAATATAGAACTATTTTGATGTTTTACTGAGTATCAAAAGAGACTATATATAAATAAATGAATTTTGTTTGATTTAATTGTTTTAGCTCTTCGCCTTGAGGATCGTGTTTTCTTTTAAATTCACTTTTACTTTTTCTTATAAAAGGGAGTTTTCACAATAAGTGTTGAAATTATAATTTTTGAAGTTCAATGAAATTCTTACTATCATCCTTTTAAAGAGAAAATAACAATGGGTCTGTTCGTATTGATTTACATACTGTCTCCTTATTTTGAGGACCATCTCATTTATTTTTGTCTTGGACATTTTCTTCCAACGCTTTTATTAATTTCTTCTACACTTTCTCCAAAAGATTATACTCTTTTTACCTTTTGATCTGTGATGCCATCTTAGGATATTGAGTTGATTTTAATGTTATTTCATCATATCTATTGTATTAATTTCCTAGGGCTGCCGTAACAGAGTACCCCAAACTGGCTGGCTTTCACAACAGAAATTTATTCTCTCACAGTGCTGGAGGCTAGAAACCCAGAATCAAAGTGTTGGTAGGGCCATCCTCCCTCTGAAGGCTCTAGGGAAGAATCCTTCCCAGCTTCTCATGGTTAATAGCAATTCTTGGTGTGCCCTGACATGTAGCTACATCCAATTTCTGCCTCTCTCAACACATGGCCTTCTTTACTCTGTGCCTCTATATTGAAGTCTCCCACTGCTTATATCAGTCGTTGGATTTAGGGCCGATCCTAATCCAATATGACCTCACCTTAATTAGATTACATCTGCAAAGATCCTATTTCCAAATAAGATGACATTCATAGGTACCTGGGGTGAGGACTTCAGCATATCTTTTGGGAAGATGGTTTAACCCACAGCACTTGTTTAATTACCAATACCTTAATAAAGTGTATTATATTCTTTATGCAGTTTCCTTTTCTGTGTTGTGTATATTCACTGTATCTTTATAGTATTTTAAACCTTAGTTATACTTATAGCTCATACAATTATATTGAATTGTAATATCTTAAATATTGAAAATTATAATCATGGTGGTTACTGTTGTGATTTGTTGTTAAAATGTTAACGATTACTTCATTGAGAAAATTACTGTGAAGTGAAAAAATGACCTGACTCACTTCTAATTTAACTGTCATTATGTTAGGTTCATTTTTATGCTTACTGATACTGAATTGTCATAAGACACTGATATAGAACCGTTGTTTGTGAAGGTTCTTAGTGATTAGTAGTGGGGTTATGGGAACAGTAAGGTGCTCCATGAATATTTATCATAGATTAACTTTGGCCTGCTAGGCTGTTCGACTACAGCTCTACCACTTGATATTCAAATCTGTGAATGCTGTGTTTGACATGCAGGCTTTTCATTACAGCTAACCATCTCATCTCAGAATTGTATATCTTAATTGCCTGAACAATTATATATTGATTGAAATAACATATGACTTTTATGGGAAAATAACATGAGACAAATCAAATACTGCTGTTTAGAACTCTTATTTTTTTATTTTAATAATGAGCGTATTATTTTTCTGTGGGAAGGCTAATAGATTCATCAGATTGTAAATAACTTTTATTAATGATTAATTTTTATTCAGAGATTACATATATTTAAGGAAATTCTCTATTATGAAATCCCATTCATAGAAGGTAAATTATCCCATTCACACAGAGAAAGTCTCTATTCCTATGAAGTATCGTTTCATAGAAGTGGTAGTTGTTGGAACCGTTTTCATTCCTATTTACAGGTTACTGTTTTAGTATTTGTAAAAAGATTCTAAAATTTTGCTATGCCTGCATCCCTAATATTGGTTTTCAACCCCAAATACACATTAGAATCACCCAGAGAGCTTTTAAAAAACACTAGTACCTGGGAGGCTGGCCAGGTGGTTAGTGGTTAAGTTCACGCACTTTGCTTCTGTGGCAGCCTGGGGTTCACAGATTCAGGTCCCAGGTGCGGACCTCGCACTGCTTGTCATGCCACACTGTGGCAGCATCCCACATAAAGTAGAAGAAGATTGGCACAGATGTTAGCTCAGTGACAATCTTCCTCAAGCAAAAAGAGGAAGATTGGTAACATACGTTAGCTCAGGGCCATTCTTCCTCACTCACGCAAAAATAAACATAAAACCACACCAATACCTTGACCCCATGTGAGTATTGTCCTGGATAGGACATTGGGACTGATGGAAAGATGGAAGGAAAATTTTTGTTGTTATTATTGTTAATATTTATTATTAATTCTAATGTGTAACCAGAATTGTAACCTATATCCTGAAACTTTATTGTATGTGTGTATTCTAGTGTCTACTAAGACATTTTTGTTTAGAAATGATATGGTTGCTCTGGTACCTTATAAGACAGCAGCTCACCTTTCTACTTCTGCTTTCACATCTGACCTGCTCTGATCAGTCAGCTTTCCACACCCTAATCATTACAGATCTCAGTCGATACCACCAGAATGGACTGAATATCAAATATTAAAACAAAATTTTAAAGTTTAGCTAACCAATTCCATAATCTATTACTTTAGACATACTTAAATCATGTAACCAAGTTCCTATGTAAAATTTTAAAATCATGGAATTCTTCATTGAAAGATAAAATAAGAACGTATCCCAAGTCTTTTAAATAACATTTTTATTCTGATATATATCATACAAATGAAAGTGTGTGTGTGTTTCTTAAAAGTGTCGTGTGTTAAATCATATAATCACCCTACTCCTACAAACACACATACAGAATTTAAATAATACTAAAGCACATGCACATATATCTCCAGATTGCTCTTTTTACCCCTGTCTTTTATGCCTTAGTTATAGGATCATGTTATCTCTCAGTATATGTTGATTATCTGTGGTGTTTTCTGACTTTAAAACTAAGCTCTCTTGGTTTCAATACATTGTTCTGTTCTTCATTTGTTCAGTTTAAACATTTTTGGTCCTAGTAACCAAAATGCTTTAGATTAGACAGCTGTCGCAATAAGTAAACTTTCTGTTTTACAGAAGCATTTGCTAATGTATTGTTTATTTCTTTTTGTTTTTGTTGTCCTTTACTCTTAGTGAAGCTGTGGTCTACCAACTTAGACAACTCAGTGGCAAGCATTGAGGCGAAGGCTAACGTGTGCTGTGTTAAATTCAGCCCCTCTTCCAGGTACCATTTGGCTTTCGGCTGTGCAGGTAAGAAGTGAAAGCAGATTTTCTTCTTTTGATGTTGATTGAATATCATGGTTAGGATAAAAGAGCATTTTAAAATGAATAGCTTGCTTTGTAGGTTTAAATTTTGTTTTCATCATTAAACTCTAAATTAGAAGTATATGTAGTATACCGTCGTTATTCATTTATTGTTGTGCCTTAATTTCAGTATTCTTCACCCATGTTTAATAAAACATAGAGATGAATTTGTTGAGTTTTTTTTGTTGTTATTCCTCTAAGTCTTTGCATGCATGAACTAATGTTTACTTACTCACAAACTTAGGTCATAATGATGTTTAAACAATTAAGCTATAGTGTATAGACACAGGAGTCTTTTTTTTTTTTCTTCTGCATTGTGAAATCTCTTTGATTCTTTTTTAGTTGATAGTCTCAGATTTTTTTTAGAAAAAGGTAAGCCAGCACCGTAACATGAGGACAATATCACTTTTTACAAAGGAAAAGCACAATTTAAATCTTAATTTATCACTACATCTTTTCCTTATTTCAACTTATTGTTTATTTCATTTAGGTATTGACATAATTTCATGGTTAAATTTGAGGAGACTATAGACTAACATGTATATGTGGGTAGAATTCTTTTTTTATTAGCATATAGAATATTTTTTCATGGTTAAATGCTCTTTTATTCCATTTGAACCAACTACTCCCTTATTTAAATCCCTGTTTTGTCACTGACTAGAAATGTGAGCTTGTGCAAGTTGAATAACTTATCTTCTCAAGTTTCTTATCCTTAAAATAGAGATAGCCCTTTGGGACTCTTATGAGGATTATAAAAGAAAGAGGCTATGTGTAAAACTCTTATAATAATATGGTGCTCAATATTGTTTAGTTATGTTCATTATTAATATTTTATCATGCATTTAATTATAAATAGTGTATTGAGTTTTAGTGTTCTGTTTTATAAACACACTCACTATTGGCCATCATTTATGAATAGAAGTTATTCTCAATATTTAATATGTACAAATGCCAGATATGAGCATCTTCAAAATTTCTCCTTCTTGGAAAAGGGGAACCTACTTAAAAAATGCTTCAGCTCTCTGGCAGGCAGTTTTGTCCCGCTATTTTAAATTTTCATATTTTCTTAGTTAATTTTTGCATTTTCTTTTCCATGTAAGCTTAACATTTATATTTTTCCAATTCTGGAAACATTCTTTTGGGATTCTCATCTGAATTATGTTATATGTATTTGTTAGTTTTGGAACCACTGACATCATTAAGATAGTATGTCTTGCCACACGATTACATGGGGTATCTCTCTGTTTGGATTATTTTCTGTCTTTTAATGAGATTTTATGGTTTACTTCATTTAGGTTGTAGGCCTTTCTGGTTAATTTTTTTCTCTATATAAGTTTTGTTACTATCTTAAAGAAAGTATTTTTTTTTCATTCCTTATTTTAGGTACTATTTGCTAAGAGTAGATAAAAGCTGTTGATATTTGGATATTTGTATTCTATCTACGCATGTTATACATTTTTCTTATTAAATCTGGTAGCTTTTTAGTAGAGTCTTTTGGGTTATTTATTTATACTTCATAATAGGCAAAAGTGATGGCTGTATTGTTTCTTTCCCAGAGATTTATTTCATTGTCTTCTTACAAGGCAATGTTATATGATATAGTGATAGTTACTTCCCCCATCTGTTTCATTTAGTTGAAAGGGCTTTAGACTTTTTCTGTTTAGGATATCTACTTTTGGAAAAGTCTTTACTAAATTCAAATCATTTATTTTGCTGTTTCCTAGGAGCAACTTCAGTATTTTAACAAGTGCCTTTTCAGCATCAGTTGATATAATCATGTGGTTTAATTTGTTGACATAATGAATTATGCTTATACATTTTTTGATACTGAATTATATTTATGTTTCTAGAATAAACATTGCTTGAGCATAAGTGGAATTCTTTTGATAAATTGCTGCATTTCATTGCTGGTATTTTTACATCTATATTCATAAATTGGTGTATAATTTTCTTTGTCTCTTTTTTAACCGTTTCTTAACATCAGTGTTTCATAATTTTCATTTATATGAGTCTTGAACTTCTCTTGTTAAATTTATTCCTAAGTATTTTATTACTTTTAGTTATATTGTACATAGAATTTTCTTAATTTTATTTTTTGATTGTTTGTTGCTAGTATATGGATATACATACAATCAGTTTTTGTATATTGGTCTTGCATCTTTGAGTCTTGCTACTGTTGTGTATTTTCTTCTTGTAGTTTTATTGTGGATTTCTACTTTTTTTAGGATCATATCATCTGTGAATTAAAACAATTTTGTTTCTTTATGAGATTAATGCCTTTTTGCTTTATTGCATGAGCTTAAAGGTCGTGTGCAATGTTGATTTGAAGTGGCAGAATGGACTTCCTTATCTTAGAGGGAAAGTATTCAGTCCTGCACAGCTAAGTGTTTTTTGTGTCTTTTGAAAAGCTGTGAGTTTTTTTGTAGATATCCTTGATCAGGTTAAATTTTCTTCTGTTCCTAGTTTGCTAAGAGTATTTATTATGAGTTAATGTTGGATTTTGTCAAATGCTTTTTCTGCTTCTGTTGAGATGATCTTGTGGTTTATGTCCTTTATTGTTGTAAAATGGGATATGGTATTGGTGTTGTTTTGTTTTGTTAATGTTAAACCAACCTCCCGTTCCTGGGAAAAATCTCTCTTGGCCATTGTGTAAAATCCTTTTTATATGTTGCTGGATTCAGTTTGCTAATATTTTAAGTGTTTTTGTGGATAGTTGTCTGTAGCTTTCTTTTCTTATGATGATGTTTTTTAGCTTTGATAGTGAAACTATTGGCCTCATAGAATGAGTTGGGAAGTGTTTCTTCCTTTGTTTATTGAATGAGTTTGTAAAGGACTGATAATATTTCTTCTTTGATTATTTGATAGAATTTATCAGTGAAACCATCTGGACTTGGACTTTGTGGGAAGATTTTAAATTCCTAATTCAATTTCTTTATTTCTTTTAAGTCTATTCAGATTTTCTATTTCTTCTTGAGGTCAGTCTTGGTACTTAATTGTTTTCTAGGAATTTGTAAACTTAATTTTCTTATTTGTTGGCGTAAAGGTGCTCATAACATTCTCTTATAACCCTTTTAATAACTGTAGTCTCCTTCTTTCATTCCTGACTGGTCATTTGTGTCTTCTCTCTTTTGTCTTCTTGGTCAGCCTACTTAAATATTTTTCAATTTCTTCAAGGTGTACGGTGTGTGTGTGTGTGTGTGTAGCGGGTATGTGTGGGTGGAAGGTGCTTCAGACCAGAACGTCACATATTTCCACTGTTCTCAATGTTCTTACCCAAACTTACTTGTTGGAAGGGTTGAAGATCTGTAGGCTGAACTTCCTGGAATGACTCTTAACTCACGATAAATATATATATAGGCCAAGAGAGCTGTTATTTCTTTCTCATCCATTGAAACTATTGAGATCAAGAACTGTCGAGATTAAGAACATGATGCCATTGCTGTAATCAAGTGATCAGAAATCTTTCACCATTACTGCCACAACTAGAGACTGGAGACTGGAACATGACAGCAGAGAACCACCACACCTTTACGACAGTGCTTGCAACAGAAATATCCAAAGCAGATTGAGCACAAAATTTCTACCTTTCAAGTCTTACATAAGTGCATCCCATTGGTAGCGTCCAATTCACATCTAGAAGCATAACTGCAAGGGGATCTGGGCAATATTGTTTTTAACTTTCCATCTTCCATAGGCTGTAAATACTTTAAGGTGGTGGGAATGGGTGCTGAATGTCATTGGCCCTATCCAGCAAATGCGGTTTGATATGAGTTAAGAACTTACTTTTCCTGGCTTTGAAATAGGGGTTGGTATCAGAGCAAGACGTTAATGAAGCCGGTAGTCCTTACTTTATTCACTAACTTTAATTGTACCAATGGCTGATGTTGAGTCATCTTTATTTAGAATTGAAATGTTTCTTAGAACATAGACTGTTATCTAAATATTTCTCTTTAAACTGTAAAACATCACTCTCTCTTTAGCTGTAATGTTTATTTCACCACTGAGAGCAGTACAGTCATATTCTTGAGGTTGCTTGTTAAATATTATTTGTGATGATGAATTTGGCATTAGGAATGGGCTGTACATTGCTTTGGGGTTCCAGGGAATAGATAATTAATATGTGAGCTACCCGCCATCTACAGTCAGGCTCCCAGTCGCAAGGGTGCTGTGGGTCCTACATGGGTAGTGATGCATTGTGCTCACTCTAGACTTCCCGCCTGCCTTCGTTTGATTCATTTCTCTCTTTGTGCTTTTACTTTGTTATTTTGCTCTTTCACCTTTCACCATAATGTAGAAAGATGTCTGGTTTTTGTTACTGGAGTTTATAGCATAAAAAGTTTCTTGAATTGAACTAAAAATTTGCAAGCATTTCTTTTAAAATATCAAATCCTAAGTCATGGACCCCTTGAAAATAGGAGGCTGGGAATTTTAAAATACCTTTTCGAGGTTAATATTGAGAAAAAGGCTTTACATTTTATTTTAAACCATTTAAAATCTATTCTTAAGCCCTGAGATTATCTGAAGCCTGCTTTTACCAGAAGAGAGGATGATATTTTTAACATAAAAGTAAAGGTATTGTTTATTAATTATCTGTTACTTGATTACTACATGAAATTTTCTTATTAGTAGGAAAACAATTTTTCTCCAATATATCTTCTTTAAAGCCCGTTTGGGAGAACATTGTAGGGCTAAAGTAAATAAAACTCCTAGCAATTTGTGATTTTAGTAGAATATTAGAATTACTTGCATACTTACTCGAAGCATCTTGCAGTTTTTTAAACTGTAATGATTATGACAGATAGGAAATATGGGTACTCTTAAGGTATTCTCTAAAGTAATAACAGTTTTGGGGCTGGCCCTGTGGTTTAGTGGTTAAGTTCGTGCTTTGCTTCGGCACCCCGGGGTTTGCGGGTTCAGACCCTGGACACAGACCTAGCACCACTTGT